ATATCTTATTTATAAAATTACTATTTGCAGGTTTTCTATAAAGAAAAACGAAGGAATGATACAAAAAATGGATGCCTTTATCGGAACAAACTTATTCGTTTATTATTTTGATTAATTATCAATATATTTTTTAATGCATATACGTCATTATTCTATTTTATATATTCAACTTTGGAAATAAGCCATAGGAGAATTAGAAATTTTAAATTGTAATTTAAAAAGTATAAAATTCGAATAAATGGAATAAATCCAAATAGTGAAAGGAAAACGTATTTAATATAAAACAGAACAATTAGCCATCAAAATAATATCAAGGAGCACTTTATATAAATATCACACTTTCCTCGTCATCGTCAACCTCAATATTTAAAATTGAATATAATCTGAGATTCGCACGAAGAAAATTTATTAAAATGGCGGAAAATGTAACGTATCTATATCTATATTCTGCATACCTCGAAAGGTATTTTTGCCTTTAGATAAATTTTGAGTTCTTTGTAAATCCTATTTATACCTTTTCCCCTAATGTTATTTTAATAGCGATGTCTCCTAAATTTTATAGAAGGTTTGTTTAAATGTACTTATAACGTTTCAATGTTTCATCCACAGCAATTGACGATGACGTAAAAGTGATACTGATTGCCTCTTTATTGTCGGAATCATTAAGCCCAGCGGCATTCATACTGAAATGGACGATAAATGAATTTTAGGAGAAACTAATAACCCGATGACCCGAGTTTCTAATTTAGGAATATTTGAAATATAGTGTATGGTGATCTTTACAATCAACCCGGAAGATACAGAGATTACAATTGTTGTGACTCGGAATGATATCAAGCCATTCATAACCTTTTGGTTTGTTGATAAAATACTAATTACAAGTTTCTCTGTGTCATTGACTTTCTTAAAACGAAAAGGGGAATAGCAAAGATAACGGGGTTAAAAAAAAACACTAATATATAATTTTGTTGAAAGTTTAATTTTATCTATTTAATAATTTGTTAAATATTTATTTAAATTTTATTGTTACGCTTTTATTAGTTTAAATATTGATCATTCAGAGTAAATTTGAATTAAATGACAATAATAATTAAAATTAATATTTAAAATATTCAACAAATTATTAAATTATAAAATTGAACTTGCAAGAAAATTATATAGATAAATGCTTAAAATGCAAAAAATAGAAAAATAAAATGCATAAAATGTTAATTTCTTTTATTTTTTATAACATATATTATTTTTAAACATAATATATTTTCAAAATTAAAATAAATAATACAAGTGACGCACCAAAAGTCAATTTGTTTTTTTTTCTGATCTTTTTGACTTCGCTATCTTAGCTATTTTCATTTTTTGCCCAGTCAGTAAAGGTAGACGTGACATCTCCCCACTTTGGCTCAAAAATCCCAATAGATCCCATGTTTCCATTGACGATGACAAAATTAAGCTCACCTGGGATCCAAACCTCTGAACCTGGACTGCGGGAGTTCGACTGTTGCAAGGAATCGACAACTGACATTGGAAGTTCTGTCTTCTTGGTACTTCCTCAAGTGATTGCAAAAGCTCCACGTTTTCCTATTCATCTTTTGCTCCCAGCGAGGCTGCAAAATCTTCCAGTCCGTCACGCCTCATATCACCTCCCCCCCCCTCAACTACACTCTCTTCCCACTTGTGGCTCACGGCTGTAACATCCTACAGGCTAGGCCCGGTGCCTCAACGACTGAGCCTCCCTCCGTGGTTGCATTGTCTCGGGCGCCCTTAACCGTCCCGAAAGCGAAATTCCATCCTTACACACATGTCTACCCAAAAATTTATCGATCTGTAGTACTAGACTCTTCTGTTAATGATAATTTTACTAAGTTTAATGATCATCCTAATTTATTCTATATAATGATTAAAGTTTTGAATACAATGTATGTGTTAAGGATGGAGTCCCGTTTTTCAGATGGTTCCGTGGCGATTGATATAACCTAACCACCGAGAAATCCATATGTCTTTGATGCTATAAGGCCTGCAAAATTTACGAAGATGACAAAAAATGGGTGAGACAAAATGGTGGCCTAGAGAAAACCCTGTCATATGGGTATTTAAAGAAAATTGTTTGTTACTTATTACATTGCCATATATTGCAGATTCATAATTATTTGTAGCTAAAACTACTTCCGAGCAATCATTTATTTCAAACTTTATAAACTTCAATTTTGGCCATTATCGCTCTATCTTCAGACAAAGAATATATTGTTTCGACTATGGAAGAAGTTTTCAAAATAGCTATTTCTAATTTGAATTTTATTTTTAATCGAAATCCTGACAATATTGTCATGGAATGTCTATTACACAATAGAATTAGCGCATGAGAATATTTTAAGATGACTAAGAGATGAAAGGCTCAATATTTTACAAAATTAACGTGTTTCGGCCTTTAATTGATCGAACAATCAATAGTTTTGCTGAGAGATTTTCTAAAAATAAAAGCCCCTTTGGTTATAAATATACTATTTTCACTCAACGTTTTTTGTTATGGGCACTGATAACGGAGGTATCGTGAATTGGTAAAAGTCGGCAAATAGCTGTGAGAGAAACTTTAGCGAATTAAAGCTGGTAGAAAATAGATTGCGTGCTAACCTTGGACAAGAAAGATTAGAAATTTTTCTAGCCATGTCGCTGGAAGGTAAATATAAGACCAAATTGAATTCGAGGATATCCTCGTTTATTTACAAATTTTCCGCCTTTTTATAATATTTATTTATATAAAATTTAAATATAAATAAATATTATATGTGCTTTTATAAAATAAAATATTTCATCTAATTTCATAGCAATCTTTTTACACTATACACATAATATCTTATGCGCCAAAGAATATAGTTTTACCTTGTATGTTATATCTTATTTTGTGACAATATGATTTTATTTTTATATATTAGTAATTCAAATAATATACGTGATTTTTAATATTAGTCATTTGTATTCTCTCTATTAGAAATATAATATCTGCAATAAAATTTTTTAAACCCATAATTTTAGATTGTTATCATAAATATAATTATTTAAAAATAAATCCATTTAAAATACTCCTTATGGAAAAATAGGGAAAACGAGGGTATGGAGGCGAATTTCCTATGAAAATAAGGCCTAGAAAAGACCGCAGCAACGTCAGCCCCTGTATTTTTTTTAAATATCAATTCTTAAAATATATGATTATTAAAAATGTATTAGCTGCAATATAGTTTTAACTAGGGATGTACCAATATTTTATCGGATCGGATCGATATTTCGCCCATTTTAAAATATCGGTTATCGGCAAATATTATAAAATTATCCGATCCGATATAAAATGGCGCTTTTAACAAAATTTAAAAAAAGTTATATCTAAAAAACCATTTATTTTTATAAATAAAATCGAAATATATTTTTATGTTTAATTTTTTTAATAGTAATAATTAGTTCATAAACATTCTGCAATATAGTTATTTTTTTTCGCATTCTGTTTAAAAAAGTGTTCATTAATCTCTTCAGAATCTGTTTTTAGTGATGCTAGTGACATTAAAAGTCCCCATCACCGCAGACCGATCTCTGATAAATTGGAAATTTTGGTATTTTCTAAAAATAAATCTTCGATATATTAATTTTAAATATTAATTTCAAATTTCATAATATATTTGTTTATTACTAATACTAATTATGTAAATACATTAATGTTATTACTTATTATATAAATAATAGCAATTGAATTGAATATAAACTATAACTGATAATTATAATATATTTAAATGACATATGTTATGATGGTATAGTAAAATTATAGATGTTGTACTAATAAAAAGTATATTAAAAATTAAAACCGGTATCTTTACAGAATACAAAATTAGATATAATATCGGATCGGTTATCGGCCGATATCAATTTAATATCTGGAATATCGGATCGGATCGGCCTCCAAAAAGTGGTATCAGTACACCCCTAGTTTTAAAGCATCGTTTTGGACACATTCTTATCCAAATTTATAAGAAATAATAAAAACCATGTGTAATAGGGAATAAGGCATTAAAGGGGGTATGTGAAGGCCTGGTAAAGGCGGGATTGGCCCTTTGAACACGTTTTTATCCAAATATTCAAGAAATAATAAAAACCATTGTGGCCCTGATATCTTGTACACGCCGCGAATTTCCGCTAATTATGAAAATAAGCCATTGAAAGGAACCCGATCAATGGCCTGGTAAAAGCATATCTGGTGGTTACCCCTATATAAATGAGGCCGTTACCCCCGAGACCGCTTTTGCGTCAGTTCTCGCCTGTAAATAAATATTAGATAGCTGTCAATAAAGGTGAAGAAGGAGAAATAATTAAGTTTATTTAATTTAGGTCTTTGTAATTAATTTAATCGATTTCTATGAAATTTTTTAAAGAAGCAAAACAGTTCATTCACCACAACTGTACATTGATTGTTTTATTTACGACATCATAAAATTATTAAACAAATGTATAATTTTGAAGATGATGTTTTTTTTTAAAATATAAATATCTTGTTCTAATAATTAAAAATTTGCATGACACGATGTGAATGTGATAAGGTGATATATTAATTTATTATTATGATATGACCCTATATTTTTACAAATTATAAAAAACAAATATTTTATGTGTTTTTTTGTATCCTTTTCCTTTTGTTATAACATATATAATATATCTTATTTTCTTATTATGGTATCAAAAAAGATAAATAATTAAAAATCGATTTGATTTTTTTATTTTTATAACATTTAAAAAAAATATATATATATTAAACTTTTTTAGAAGTCTGCGAAAATAAATAAATATTGAATATAATTTCATCCATTTTAATAAATAAATAAACCATTTTTTTTTTCTAACATCCAATTATCATCTTGAAATAAAACATATAACTTTCCAAATTCATATTTTAATGGGTATCATCGGCATGCGACTCATAATTAACTAACCCAATTTTTGGTTTTTCTGTTCTGCCCTTCTAGATCACCTTCATCAGAGAGAAAGGAGAGAAAATCGGGAGACCATTCTTCTATATCATCTTCCTCGAGTTCCGCATCAGTCAGCTCACCAATTAGCGCGCCAAAAAATAATTTCAATATTCAGAAAGACAACGTTCAAAAATTGTCTCCTTCCGGTCCGGAAACATCATCTCATCAACACTTATCGCCTAAAAAAGTACCCCCCTCACCCGATTCCTTTACCGGCATCGCCGCTAATAAAAAAATTGTTAACAACAATAAACGCACGATAGATAACGTTGATTTTAACGGAACATCCCCCAGGAATATTAATGACCGTGAAGTTTTAGGTAGTCGTACGCCGCTAGCTAAAGGCAAAGAAACAACAACGCCCTCGTACCCACTCAAAAAGTCGGCCACAACTAGAGATAAAAGTCCCCCGGCTAGTATGAAAACTCAATCATCTCCAGTTTCAAAGTAAAAGAACGAAAATATTTTATTTTATAATTCTAATAATTTTAAATAATTTTTTTTTAAAAAAAAACGGAGCGGAGCAAGTAGCGTCACTAAGGGAGGGGGGGGCGCAGGGACTCGAGCTCCCTGAAAAATGAATAGTTTAATGGCTCCCTAATATCAATTTAAACTAAAAATAACATTTTTTTTAGTTGAGTCCCCTGAAATTGTAAAGGCTAGTAACGTCCCTGAGTTTGAGATGAAATGTTTGACTTGTACCACCTGTTCTAATTTATGCGGAGGAAGGGAGTCTTTTGCTAGACTAAAATTTTTTTGTATTTTTTTTCTTTCTCAAGCTAGTGGACTTAGACCAAAAAATTACTTAAATTAAACATTATAAATAATAAAATAAACTTAGCGATTTTAAAAGTGAAAACTAGTTTTATCAAATAAAAATGATTGTTTTGTATTATTATAAACTTTCAAATGTCAAAATGGTGATATGAATTAAATAATAATTTAAAATATTTTTGATTGCTTATCGAATAACATGATAATAGCTCGATTCAAATAATGTTCAGGTGAAGTTTGCTTAAAATTAATAAGTATTTGAAGTATGAGATAGGTTTAACCCTTCATAAAAATGACACCAAAATGTAGATGGAATTCACTCGGACCTCATTTGTGAAACGCTTTAAAATTTTATGTCTGTTTTTCCCAAGAGAGTCAAAATGTGACAAATTATTTCAAATATAAATAAATTGATGTTGTAAAATATTTATCTTACGTATTAAATATATATGCAAAATATATCAATACTAAAAGAAGATTAAAAAAGGTTACTCGCACGACAAAGTGAAAACTATGAGTAACCCAGGCGTCAAAAAAACCCCGTTATAGCTCATGAACTACCGAATGAAAATTAATCTTGAAAATATATAATATACTTAAAAATATAAAGCTAATAAAAGACCCAATATCGAAAGAATTTTAAGAAATAGCGTTTTCTAAATGACTGGGGTCTGAATAGTCCCACCTGTGCTGTGAAGCCTTAAAGGTTAAGGAAATATGGGGTGTGGTTAATATATTATATTAAAAATGATATTTAATAAAATGTAATCATTTTTCTATTAATAATCTGTCAAATCTAACATGACATGTGCTATAATAATTAGAAGAATAGAAATTTAAATAAATCAGCTGTTTTAATAGCAATTTCCTGGAGTTGGACCATAATCGAATAACATTAGTTCATGGGTTACATTATAGAATCTATTCTATTTTTTTTTGGCAAATCCAATCAAGAAATCGCTGTTATTTTTAATACAAAAATTATTAATAAACCAGCTCAAAATCAAATCGAATATTTTAATTCAATATTTATGAGCGAAATTTCATGCATTATTTGCATTACCTATTTGAAAGATTTTTTTATGTTTTTTTTGGGTATGGGCTATGTTTTGTGGTCCATTCTTTTGCCTCCTGCCCATAGAGCTTAAATAACAATTTTAGGACCAGTGGCACCTACAACGGGGGGAGGGTCCGAAGCAACTGCTTCTAAAAATTGGAGGGAGGTATTTAATTTTTCGGTTTTGCCACACCCACCAAAAACCAAAAATGTTTTTTCAAAGGTACAAAATTTTATGAAGGGGAAAAACATTACAATTAATGTTGTTAAGAAGCCGGATTCAGGTCGATTTAAAAAAACGGCCCTATTAAGATTTTAGCCAATATAATATTATATAAGCATCGAGGTTTGGCAAATAGATGTCCAAACCTTTATACCATCTATGAGCAGAGTCTCCAGGCTTGCACAATATTAATTTGATTATAATCTTAATCGGGCCTTTTATTACAATCCAAAAAATGAGAGGCATATATATATATATATACATATATATTATATATACATATATATATATATACATATATATATATATTTTATTATTAAATATAATATTTTATTTTATTAGCTACAAAACCAGTTTATGCTGCACTTGGTTTGATCATGATGCAGTTTAATTAAAGATTCAATTATGAATCGATGAAATTTTTAAATTCAATCATATTTTTTTCACCAAGGAAAATGGCGGAAAAAACATTCGTTAAAGATGATATTGAGGATATCTGTGTGAATTTTACCATTTAAATTCAAGTCAAGTGAAAAAAAATGTCTAAGTTTCGAAATATTTATATTGTGACTAAAACGAGGGATATAATTATTAGACATGACCTGGAGGATAAAGATTATAAAAATTTGTCAGATTCTGAGAATTGTAAATTTATTTTAAAATATTTATATTAATACATTATTTAGCTTCTTCTTCTGATAATGATTCTGAGATTTATTCAGACTGGAATACGTTTATTTTACCTTATCATTTACTTAAATTATTTCTGCTTTCCTTAATTTATAAATTTTATATAAATATTTATAAAACCATTCCTACTGTACTGCCTTAAGGGTGTCAAAAAATAATTAACTGCTTTTTCGGAAATGGGTAAGAGTATTTTTCAAGGGGTATTCTGCTTCCATCGCTCAGAAAATGTAGGGGCCATTGCGTGCGGCATGCTCAACAACGCGTAAAGGGCTCCTCATATAATTTTCCTCTAATTTATTTTTTAATCCAGGTCGATGGAAATGAAAAATGCTTAGTGTATTTCTGTAATATCCACAACATTAAAGAAACGCATCACGTATTTATAAACAATTTCTAAAAAAATTTTCACTTATCAAGACGGGGTCCATCATACCCCTAGGGTTAAACCGAACTCAAAAAAACATGGGCCGAAACGGGTTAAGCCAATATTTTTTTTAAAAAAAAATATTTGGGCTGAGAACCGGACATTATCGACCTGTTGGAAGTCTCTTGAGTGTGCATCCGATTTTAAAAATGGTAACATCTTTATTACTAATTAAATTTAGCACCTCTTAATAAAGTATTTTTTATATAAAGGCGAGTGTCAAAATCACAATGTCTTTATAATTTATTCTACCTCGTTTACAATTAAGAAAATAACAAAATAAAACACTCTTATCTATTAGTGTCAAATTTCAATCTAATTTTAATGTTAAAACCCTAAAAAAATTTTTAATGTTTGTTGATATAAAAAGGTTTCATTTTTATAAAAATTAAAACAAATAATCGAATAATATAATATATATAATATATTTGTCAAATTAATCGAATATGAGGTCTCGTTTTAATCCACTTATATATAAAGTTTTTCTCAAGGAAACAGAAATTTAAAATGTTATTAAGCAGGAGAACGTTGTTATTATTTATAAACAAACATAAATTTTATCGCTTGTTTATTATAATGTTCTATCTAACTAAGGTTGTAAAATCATCTAATACTTAAGACGCGAACTGAGCCGATATTTCTTGGCTATAAACTTGTTTTGGAGTCTATTAGAGCCATTTATCAGCACTAGTTCTAATTCCACTTTTGATCAATCAAAGTCTTATGCTTAAGAGTTATAAACACCTCCCCTCCCCCCCCCTCCACTATTAAATATATTTTTGAATTTTGATATATTCCCTTTTAAGTCAATGTAATGTTCATTTTCAGAGACGATAACTTTTTTTAAAAAAAGTGCATTATCTTTCAAAATAGGTCGCTAGAACGCCGCTGAGTTAAATCAAAATGATATTTGAATTCTTATGGGAGTATATCATTTGTAACAATTTTCTCAAAGAAGGACGCCTATGCTACTAAAAAAGTTCATGTATGAAGTTTTTTTTTTGGAGCCTTATAATCACGGCTTTATTTTGCAAGTAATATGGTTCCAATATACAGGATATTTAAAATATTTATTTTCTTTCGTATATATAAAAAATTGGATCCACGGAGAATGAAGTGGTACACACGTTGTACCACTATGATTTAGTTTGGAAAATATAATAAAAAAAACAATCTGAATTTTTATTAAGACAAAGGAGCCCATCACCTGTAATGCATTTCCATTTCAGAACGGACTTGATGTTTAGAGACTGCTGTAGTTCGTGGAACATAAATTTATCGCCACCATACTCATAGATTAGCAACCCGCTTACAATATTTTAGTATAGGTTTTTATAGGCTGAGTCCTGGTTATACTTATTTTTGATACTTAGGCTAAAGAACTGAAATGGGGCTAAGTATTTGGCCTATATAGCTTTTGTTTTGTTATTTTTTTTCCTCTTTAGCCGAAGCTATATAGTTGGCTAAATAAACGGTTCTTTAGTAATAAGTCGAACCAGGACAAACTCTTAAAGTTTTATTAGACATAAATAAAAATATTAATAAAACGCACAGTGGTCTATGATTTGACATTTCGATGTATGATCTACATGTATCGGTATCGAAAAAGGATATTTTCCGATATTTAGCTTGAATGAGTGGATTGATTTTTGCATAATAAAAAAAATATTTAAATTATTTATTAAATTAAATTATTTAATCCAAATTATTTCTTATTTTATCTTATTATCTATCTTACAACGGTTTATTCTCTATTATTTAAAATACAAAGATTATGAAAATATTAATAAAAAATAATTTAATTTTCCCATAAATTATAACAACTTTTATATTTAGTTTAGTAATTTGATTTAAATAAATTAAAATCTGAGCTATTATATATTTATCAATTAGATAAATTAAAAATTATTTCATGTAAATAATTTAATATAAAACAAAACCTTGATAATTTTCTTAGCACAAGGAGTAAAGTTTTATCCATTTTTATAATTTTCCTAATATTAACAATGATTCATTACAACACGACCATTCCTTATTACAACAACCGTGTCAACCTCGGAACAGCTGTCTGTTATGCCGTCTATATTGCTTCCTCTAACGACCTGAAAATGAAGAGGCTATTATGATTTACCACGTTTGTTTTATTTGTACCTAAAAAATATATATAAATAACAAGTAATATATATAATAAAATAAACCAGAAGAAGGTGTCATAGTTAAATGGTTGAATAGTCTAGGCTAAGTCTAAATATGTTTCAAAAATCACTCGAACATTGACGCGGCCAACTAGTTGAACTCTTTTATTCAGTGTCACTAAAAAATGTTCTTACTGAGGAGCAGATTCTTCCCTGATAGCAACTTTGAAAATGTTTTATCGCTAAAATTAAATAATAATTTATTCGCAAATATCTAGTTTAATATAGATGTATTTCATAATTATAAACAATGTATATCAAAAATGTATCGGTGATTTTCAATAACCCTTTTATAATTTGTATCGGTTCCGGTAGATTTTAAAAAGCATCAACGAAGAAATAAAATATGTTGATCCACAATTTTTTGGATCCGCGGTTTATTGCTATATTTCACGCTCATTAAGTTGTTGAAACAGTCCACACTATACATATTTTGAGGCTATTCATGAATTGCTATTGGGGAAGTCACTTTTATTATTGACCAGATTTCTATTTCGCCGAATTAGAAGAATATCTCATATATCTTGAAAATTCTTTCTTTCTTTCTTTCTTTCTTTCTTTCTTTCTTTCTTTCTTTCTTTCTTTCTTTCTTTCTTTCTTTCTTTCTTTCTTTCTTTCTTTCTTTCTTTCTTTCTTTCTTTCTTTCTTTCTTTCTTTCTTTCTTTCTTTCTTTCTTTCTTTCTTTCTTTCTTTCTTTCTTTCTTTCTTTCTTTCTTTCTAACTTTCTTTCTATTAAGTGATGCGTAATGTTCCTATATACATAATATATTTAAATAAGCTAAGTAAATAAATTTATATAAAATAATTAACTTATCGATCGCCACGTTCTTATGCGGCTCTATTAGTATGATAGACTAATAAATTAATTAATTGTGGATCAATGAACTCCTTATGGTTATAAATATTGTCTGTGTATTTATTTTAGAATATCAAAATGTCCATGTTATGATTTATATAATCTTTATATTCCGGCAATCTCATGGGACTAGAACTCAAAAGTGCATCAGAGCCACAAATTAGTTATTCTCTTTGAACTCCTACATTAGTCGCACGTCGGAATAGAATGATACATCATTTCATTTTCAGATGATGGTGATAACGATGTATCAGGCATTTTAAAGATAATGTTCAATGTATTTTGCAAAAATTTTAAAAATGAATTTTTTAAATTCAATTTTAAGTCATATATTGGCGCTCACACTTTGACAATACGTTTGTTTTAAGGCCCGACCCTATTCCAAGAAAGAAAAAAAAATTTTGTCGGATAGGGTGAGAGAATAACTTGAGGGATTTCAAAAAATTTTGGTACGAAATCTTGAGAATCACTACCAGGTCGTGACATCTGGCAACCTTGACAGTGAACTGAAAGTGTTAAATAAATATTATGAATGACACTTAAAATCAAAATAATAATGACAAAACATAAAATGTTAACCTTTTTTTATTTAACTAAAAAATTACCGATCTTTTTTTGTATTGCTCGTAAAGTAAAAGCGGCTTTTGATTTTGGTAAAAATAATTTATCCACAAACTCTTTTATAATAATAATAATAATAATTTTTTATTTTGAAAGTTTAAGTGGCTTTTAGTAAAAAAAAAATTTATTATAAAAAAAAGAGAGAGAATTTGAAAATGTTTGTTTTTGCTCAATGATTTTATAATATAAATATTCATGTAGTTAGTAGCAATTCGTATTTGGTTAATTGATCACGACTTGGTTGTAATGATTACTTTACAAAACCGTGTTTGTAAACGATTTCCGGATATCCAGAATATCCATTTGAATTAAAATGTCTGAATATAAATCTAGGCCCAGTAATCATCATAAGACTGAATATTCTCTAGAATATTGCATCTAGGGGTTCTTATTAAGTGGCAAGTTATTATTTGAAAAGAAATCCAAATTATTTAATATTTTTAATTGTAGTGTTGCAAAACAGTTCCATTTGAGCCTATTTTTTAAAAACGGCTACTGAAAAATATTGCCTAAAAGTCGAAATTTAGCTAATAGATGTTCAAACCTTTGTGCCATTTATGAGCAAAAATATTTCGGCTTGAGTAAAATATTTCTGGATAAAATATTGAAGTTGGCCGTTTTTAAAAATCGGCTCAAATTGTGGCATTTAACAACACTATTTAAATGGTAATTGTTCTTTTTATTTTTCATTCTTCTCCTTTCACTTGATTGTTACGGCTAACTCATTCCTTCAATTTCAAAATTAATTTATTATCTCGAATTCTTAAATAGCATCTTTTCAATGGAATTTAAGAAATAAGATTTTTTTTTTAAAAAAAGAGTAAAATTATAAAGGTTTTTTTTTTGTTTTAAATGTAAAAATCCTATTATGCAATTTGAAGAATGTAAAAAGAAACCAAATAAAAAACACAGGCTTTCTTTTTATAGGAACCATAAAAACCGCGAAAATAGCGCAATGTCGCGTCGCTCTGCAAATTATGGTAAATTATATAAGTAAGCAATTATTTAGGGAATGATCAACGACTTTCTTTAACCATCATCGCTGATACTATGTTTAAATTGTGAATCTTCTGTATAATCATCCAATGGTGTATATTTATTACTAGATTAGCGATTCGGTTTAAAGTGTTCATACATGAGAGTCAGCTGTAGCCCCATTTTGTGGTGCGCGTCTACTAATTAGATTGACTTTTATATGATTGCACATTAATGTCATTTAACGAGACACAAACCACAAATTGGCGTCATTTAATGAATGCATCGCCATTCTATTAGTATATATATATACTACTATTAGTATAACCTTAATCAAAACTCTCAAAACGTGAAATAAAAATAAATCGATGTGGGAGGATTTATTACTCGAGAAATCAATTCTTTGCGTTAAACTTTAGTAATCGAAGCCAGGGGTAGCGCGAGCTAGCCCATCCCCAACTGCCCCATAAAAATAGTTTGCACAATTGTTCCAGCGCGGCTCATACAAAAATCTCCAAGGGGCCGGACTTAATCCCACCTCTAAATTGATGAACCAAGTTTATTAATAAATAATCATTAACAAAATATGTTGAGGTTTCTCAAAAGTAGATTAACCTTAGGCCCTTCTCCAGGAAGCTTTAATTAAGGAGGAGGGGGAAAAGGCAAAAGTTTATTTGGAGGACAATATTTTTTTTCGGGTTATTGTTATTTATTTTTTATAAGTCATAAGAAACAAATTTGGAATTCAAGTTTGATGGCCGACGATGACTACAGGGTTGATTTTGAAGCAAGATAATATATAAAAAACTCTCTCGTTTAATAACAGTGAAAGACTTGAGAATAAACAACTGAAAGAAAGAAAGAAATTTTACACAAAATTATAAACGGTTATTCCTAAGATTTTTAAGTTAACAAATCAATAATCCTATTCCTCATAATTTTTGTCGATGTCTTGAAGCCCCATTCTCATATTTTATTTTATAAAATTAGAAAAAAATCAAAAAATGGGAATCATCATAAACTCAGTTTTCCTTCTTCTCCCGATTGAATATTGGATGAACTAAGCTATATTTTTAGATAACGGGTGAGGTGAGTGAATAACTAATAATTTGAGCAAATGCACCTTAATTGTTAATTGCTTTCACTTCATTCCTTCCTTTTCTTTCTTTCCTAGCCTAGAATAATGGGTAAATAAATAATAGTAACAGAATTATAATAATGAATAAGTAAAAAGTTTATTATTATTGGCAATGACACGTTTTTCTTATCTTTAACAAATTAAATTATAATGTGGTCTAATTACCACAATTTATGTAAAGATAAATGCGTTTGAAAACAGTGTAGAAAGAAGATTGAAAAAATATAAATCCGATATGCAAAGGGAAAAAGGAATAAAGAATAATTTTTTGTTACATTTTTTGTTTATTGTTGTTTGTAAAGAGGAGCATATGATGATCACACGAATAAATATTTTAATTTTACATAAATTAAAACCATTTTAATTGTGAATTTAAAAAAATTAATTGATTTATATCGTGTAAAAAAGAAAATTTTTTTTAAAAACTAATATTTAATTAAATGATTATCAATAACTGTAAACTAATTATTCTTCTTATAAAAAACAAAAATAATTTATTAAAAATATTAAAAAAATTTATAAATTATCATCTATCATATTTATAATGATTTTATAATATTGATTAAATAAATAAGTATTTTTTTTTTAAAAAAAGAAGAATAAACAATAATTTTGTTCCAATAATTTAATAATAATATCATTTTTTTTAAAAAATACACTTTTATCCAATCTAATAATGTTTTCTATGAAAGTCGTCGTTCTCTCAATTCAGGGAAAATTCCTATTATCCGATGAATATAGATGATTCTTTTATTTAATAAAAATTTTATTTTTTGGTTTTCAATTAAAGGTTTATATTTTTAATTAATAATTTCCCAAAAATTAACCACGAATTTATTAAAATACCATCCATATTTATTCTTTTATTTAAAAAAAAATAAATATCTTTCTATATCGCTATGAAAGAGAAAATTGGCAAATTAAAGTAAAATAATTATTTTTTTGATAAATTATTTAAAAAAATTAAGAAAGAAAGATAAAGACTAAGAGAAGGACACATAATTCGGCGAGTAAGTGCTGTATTTGAGGAAGTAACGAGGGTCCTTCACCGGTCTTATAAATCATGTCAGAAGCATTTGGGTGATTATGCATCTTAGACAAAAACGTATCGAATACAGTTTCACTAAGATACCGGGCAGATCTCTCGCCAAGCACACAGGACTTATATATTTTATTTTTTGATTATATTTATGAGAAACGAGTGGGGGTCGTATTTTTAAAATATACCCGGGCGCTGAAATTTTTTTAAAAAAAATCCGGGTCGGGTCGTGTAAATGGTACGTCTTTAGGTCTCTGGTATTTATATTTCCGCGTTTCTCTCCTTTTTTTTAATGAAAAATATTTAAAAAAAATGGCGGGTAACCTTTTGAACGTACTAACTCTTTTTTTTCTAAGAACCCTATATCAGTAAAATCTTACTAGATATCTCCTAGCATATGATAACACGAAGTCATCCCAACAAAGTCTCTGACATGATTAATAAGGAGACTCGCCCCCCCCCCCCCCATGCGCGTTGATGTTAAACTCCGATAATGAGCTTAGTCAAGCGGGGAAACTTGGCATATTTGCCAGCTTTTGTGAAATATAAATTTTAAGCTAATTACCCTGCAGTCCCAACTCCCTTTCCCTCCCAAAAATTGAATACAATTATTCATTATAAACCAATTTTTTTTAAAAAAAGGTGTGTTAATAGTTTTTAAATTTCTTTTATACTGCCTATGACGTTCAAAAAACTTGGGTTACCCAAAAGTTCCGTCCCATTCCAATACCTTCTAATGGAATGAAGCGGAGGCCCGAATTAAAGATTATGTAGTGTACCCTCTAATGGTATCTCCTTGCGTAATCGATTCTAATTCTGGTTGGTGTTAGAGAACCATACCCTTAGGAAAATACTGCCTAATCTTATGAGTTAGAGTCAATTTTCATTTCAAGCTTGAGCTCGGGGTCCATAATTTTTAGGTCCGGCCGGAATTTTTATTTAAGCCTGAATATTGCTTTGTCTGTCCCAAATTTTTTTAGTTTTATAGATAAAAGTAAGATCACCATAATTGCTATCTCATTATTTCCTGATAAATTAATTATCATTTTACAAAAAAAAAACAGTATTTTCTATTTATTTATTTTTAAAGAATTTTAAACATTTTTTTAAGCCCCGGTTCGGTCTTATTTTTTTTAAAGGTTATTTAGGCCTAAGCTCGAATTCAGGCTGGAATATTGAACCATTTTACAGGGCTCTAGTTGTTGAAGTTATTGAATCAAAAAGAAATAATTTTAAAAGGAATAGGACGAAAGAGGAGCAAGTAAATAATTAAAGAAAGGGGTAGGGTGGGAAGAAAGGTAAATGAAAAGATACTTGATTATGCCAGAAATTGTATTTCAGCATTGGCTTTGACATATGTATAGTAACTAACCTAAGCAATGATAGACAAATTTGTCACAAGATTTTGGGTTAATTTTATTAAAAATATTTATAAAATGAAATTAGGGTGTCGAACTATTAAGTATATATATATAAATGTTTCAACCCAATTCCGGTTCTTTCCGATTTCCGAGATCATGTCTTAGTTTATTTGGTGTTAATACATTTTTGGGCTTTTAAAAATTAATCGGTAACTTAATTTAACAAACTAGAGATCTGCAATAGGTGCGTTAAAAAATTTGAACAGGCGGGCAATGGGCGGGTGAATTTGAAACATTTTTTTTTCGGCTAAGTAAGCCGAATGGATTATTATATTTATTAAAAATTATTATTTTTTTATTTTTGATAGCATAGGTTTATAAGTGCTTTAAGTAAAAAAAAAACTTTAAAATTAAATAAAGAAATAAACTCCAATGAATTGAACAAATAAAAACATTGGGTGGGCTATTCAGAAGAAATAATTTTAAAAACAAACAATGAATGGATGAAGGTGTTTGGGTTAAAAAATCAGGCTATTGAAACACAGTCGGCACTGTTTTTTTACAAACGAATTGAAATGAAATTGATTCTATATAATTCCCTATTTGAAACGGGTTTAACTATTTCGTATGCATTATTTTTTAAACGAATTTATTGTATCCTTCCTTTTTTAGATTTTCTTATAACGATTAAGTTTTGGTTCCAAAAATGATAACGGTTAATTTTGGGGTTCGATTTGATCCCCCCCCCCCCTGATTAAAATTGATTCCAAATTTCAACGATAAAATTGTTAGAAATTCGTAAAGTATAAGTTCTTAGAGACCTTCACGAGCCGGGTTTAAAAAAATAAAAAATACTGGTCGGGCTGGACTTAAATTTTTAAATATAATATCATTCACTTTTCTGAAATAAGTAGATATAATAGTGCGCACAAATTGAGTGTTTCAAACGCCGTGTTGCAAGCGCAAATAATACATTTCAAATGGCCTCGTTCAAATTGGTAAAATTACCGTTTGACGTTAAACAATCATTTTAAAAAACGCAAATAGACTTGCTTTTTCATTACTTTTTTTATTCTTCGCAATGTAATATATATAAAATGTAATATAAATAACTTGCTTAGGGGAGACTGGGGTTAGGTAAACCCCGGGGCTTGGCAAACCACTTAATTTCATTTTAAAATTAAATACACCAGAAGGTTAAAATTTTATCCTAATATAGTTTCCATTAGCATACATCTATGGACAAAATATATTTTTAAATAATTAATTACTAAAAAATTTATTTAAGAAATAAAATTTTGATGAAATTTTCAAAAGATTTTTACATGAAAGAATTTTATTTTTTATTAAAATATATAATCAATTAAATATTATTACAAAGTTTAAACATTCTTCTATAATTTGGGTAAGTTTTATGACTATTTATCAAATCTAGATATTATTTCAATCATGATTTGTCAATTTAGAGCTAGCGGGGTTTGCCGTCAATTATGGCAATTAATAAATCTTAATCTCTCCTTAAAATTCATATTATTTTATGTCCAAAACGTTTATTAAATTAGCCAAAATTAAGTTTCAATTTTTATATAAAGTAGCTTCAATTTATAAGTATTTATTATGATATTTTGAACAATAAAACAATAAAATTATTCTATACATATCATTATTAATAAATAAAAATGCATTTCAATTTATTATGGCCTAAAAAAACCAATGGTTTAGGAAGCCCCTTGAAGTGGTTTGCCTCACCCCGCTATTGGGGCTTGTTGAACAAAATTTTTACTTTGACAAAAAAATAAAATTTAAAAAAAATGATTATATTCCTAAGATTTTTTATAAGGAACCTTTATAGAGTATAGTTTTAGGTATCAAATCATATATTATTTTTTTATATTATCTATGAAACAACAAGAGCTATAGCCAATTTTGTAAAAATTGGTTCGACTAACCCCAGCCTCCCCTATATCCTAAAAAAGAATATTTAGGAATTAAAGAAATAAGAAGGCAGACTATAATATAATTTTCAAAGACAAATCCTCTTTATTTAGAAATTATTTAAAATTTTGAATCGACCATATTAATAAAAAAGGCGACCTCAATTTAAACAAGGGATGCGATGCGTTACGTTTTTTTTATTAAAAAATTACGGCAAAACGTAATCGCTCAATTTGTGTGCATTATAAAAAGAAACAAAGGTGTCAATATTTTTTTTATTTGTAGAATATTATTTTTATAATTAAAAAAAAATACTATTTTTTTTCTCTATATTTAAATAAATTCGGGTCCAGCCGGGTGGACATGACAAATTTTTTTAAAAAAAATTCGGGCCCGTCCAAACTAGAAAAGTTAAAGCCCGATGTAGATCACTAATAGGTTCTATACACATGCTTGGAAATACAATTATGACAAAAATCTAATCTTTAAAAATTTATTATGGAATATGCTCTATAAAAGCGATATTTCAAAGATTCCAAATGAAACTCTGAATTCATTTGAAACTTGGCCAAAAAAATGGGGTTCCTACAAATTTTTAAAGGAAGTTTCTTGCCCCAATTTTTAGATAAAACGGGATTTTTAAGGCTTCCAGATTTCTAGTTTCTCTTTTCCGAAAACTCTTAAAAGCAATGAAATTTTTTTTGAAAAAAATTTAATTATAAATTTTAAAAAAAAATAAATATATATATTTAAAATATTTCAACTATTGTGAAACCATTTATTAGAGTTACAGGTTTCTGATTTCTAGATTTATCCCGAGAGAGCTCCAGAATGTTTTCGATTTCAAACCCGAAATCTTTATATTAGAATTATAATTCAGTAATTATTCTATTCTCTCATGACAATAAAATTTATTCCCCCTTCCCTTCTTAGAGGCCCTTGATGACAACAATGGTGTCGAATGAACATTTATTATTTAGGTTTTCTAAGATGCCACTTTATTAGACATGTGCCACTGAGTGATAATCAATCCCTAATCTATGAAGATTAAAGCTATCACTTTGTAGTCAGAAAGGAACAGCAAAAAGATGCCTACTGCTGAGAAACTTCCAAGATTATTGAAATTAGCACCGTTAAAATACTTTTTTTAAGACCTACCCACTAAGTTTATTTATAAAATTGATATGAGAAATGCTAATGGGTGAAAAAATTGTCCAATATTTATAGAAGATAAAATATATAAAATTGGAATGAATTGTAATATTTAATTTAAAAATTTTTTTTTATGAGCACCACTTTAATTCTTAGCCTTCCCCCCACCACCACATCCCCCAATAAATAAATATGTTACGCTGGAATAATAAAACATTTTATAAAATTCTAACGATAATTATTTAAAAGAATGTTTTTATCCGTCAAAAATTTTTTTTGATAACTTATAACTCGCCACTTATTTTATAATATGGTCGATTGATTTGATATACCACATCTTCTTCATTTTTCTATAAAAACAGGGTATGCGGGCTTGTTTTATAACTGCGAACGTTAAATTACAAAATGGTTAGATAAAAACTTATTAATTATGTTAATTAGTCATTTAATTAGTTTTTTTAAACGGCTCGATTTCGAACCTATTTTTGAAAACGGCTAACTCAATATTTTCGCCAGAAAAATATTGCCTAAACCTCGAGATTCTGCTAATTCCAAATCATTATGCCACCTATAAGCAAAATCACAGAATTTAATATTTTTCTGGATAAAATATTGCCTTAAGCTTATTTAAAAATTGGCTCAAATGGAGTTGTTTAACTTACACTACATTTTACTCTAAATATTTCGATATCTTTTTTCTATTTTCTTTTTAGTAAAGGCCAGACAGAAATATTTGATACAAGCGTACAATTCGGCGAGAGGCGCATAAAAAATGGTGATATTAACCGCTCAATCGACCAAAGAATTCCCAGTTCACCTTCTCAAATTCAAAAAACCGATCATAAAATTTCCAGGTCACCAACCCAAATTCAGAAAGGTGATCACAAAATTTTCAGATCACCATCCCAAATTCAAAAAACCGATCATAAAATTTCCAGGTCACCAACCCAAATTCAGAAAGGTGATCACAAAGTTTTTATATCACCACCCCAAATTCAAAAAACACCGAAAGATGAAAAATTATCGAAAGCTGCCGAAGAAACAATATTCTCACAGATTTCCGGAAAGAAAAAAACTAGGAAATTGCCCAATTTGGGAGATTTTCAGCAAGTTTAAAATTTTAATGATTGCTCTGCTCTATAAATATAATTTTGTAGCAAAAACGAATCATTATGGATGATCTCATCGATGGTAACGAATCGGGCGAAGATTTATCGAAGGAAGATTTTACTGAATTAGAAAAGGCCGAAAAGTTGTTAGAAGATTCAATAGCATCCGGAAAAACGTAAATTTATTTGCTACTAATATTTTGAACATTCAATATTTTATAATCTAAGAATCATAAAATTGAAAAAAGATTAACAATAATATCTCTTCAACTAGTATAGATTCTAACTCATCGAAGTTGAATAAATTTTTTAAATTTAACCCTTTCCAACTAATCTCCAAAGAAATTATGAAATGTTATTTTTAAAATATTTTTCTTCTCTCAGATGGAAAAATTTTAGTTCCCCCCCCCACCCCCTTAGACAAAAATACAAAATCTTTTCAATTTGGCTTGGGCCCTCCCATACTGCGGGGAGTCTATTACGCCTCTGCCTTTCTTACTGATTATAATATTCATTGTTCTGGGATTTTCATAATTTAACCCGTGTTTCTTTAAAATTAACAACTTTTGGTTTTGAAACATTGTGGCTGGTTCCTTCTTTTTTACGTATTAAATGGTTATCAACCAGATTCTATGTTTTTGGCTCTTTGTATTAGATAATTCGAGTTAATTTTAATATATCAAGCAAAAATCTATTAATAAAAGATCTACGTGATAATGTAAGAAATTTCAACGAATAAAATTTTGAATAAATCCTAAGTTTTAAGTTTTATCTTAAAATATTTTAATGAAAAAGAAATTGCTTCTGAGAAAGTTATTTCTTTTTATGCACCCGAATAAAATTCTCTGAAATGGCACCAAACAACAAAAAATTATTTAATTGTAAGAAAAAAAAATGCAGCTGTTTCATAATTATTTTTTAAAATAATATAGTATATTAAAAAGAACAATGAAAATTTTTACTTAAGTTGCGCAATTTCTAAGGTCTTTAAAATTTTCACTTTTTATAGATACCGCCTGATAAATTTTATTTAAGAGTTTCTATCAAAAACGAAATAAACATAAAATGCGAACTCTTTCTTTGTAAACTATATGCTTAATTACCATTTTTATATAATAAATCTTGGACATCTTAAAAATAAATTAATATCTGATAGATAATAAATATGGTTAGGGTTTGATTGTGGTCTGATAAATTTTTTTAATTATTGACATATATATATATATATGTATATAGGAAAAAAATTTTACCCGAAAAAGAAGGAGAAACTGTGAGACAAGAATTGATTATAGATGGAGATAAACCCGGTGAGAAAAAAACGATTATTCAAGAAATCACCAAAAGGCGAATTAGTAATCCTGGTAAACTGCCTAAAGAATTTTTGGCTAAAATGGAGAAAAAAGACGGAGGAGTTTATACTATATAGTAAAAAATTCGATAAAAATATGTTAAAAAAATAAATAGTTTTTCAAATCATAGAATTAACATAGAAAGCCAAGACTTAAAAATAAATGAAATTAATTGCATGAGGGGATCATTATTTCTTATCAATTGATATACTGATATAAATTTTTTAAATAAATATAAAACATATGACAATCATTATATTATTTTTGTCTCTATTTTTGCCATTCAATAATATTCTTTTTTCATAAAATGAAGTCATAGAAAATTTGATTTTGGCATTAGGTTATTTTTTAGAATTTGTTAAATAAACTTGTATTATAAAATATCGAAATGGGTTAATTTACAGTTAAATATATACTAATATGATTCGAAAAAGGACTTTTCCATTGAGATGGCCTCCTGAGTAAGTTTATAATTTTTTTACAATTTATTGATAATTATGTATTCAAAAAGACCTTGTTATATTATGCATTAAATATTAGACCATATCGTAGATGTATGTATCTATATACCTTATCTATATAATTTTAATTATTATTTTTTATTTAACTTCCAATATGATGCGCATTTATTATTTTTTAAATACAAATATAGATCATTAAATAAATTAAGAGAAAATTTTAAAAATATATTTAACACTTTTGTTGCTAGTAGTCATCTGTTAAAAAATGGCATCCTTCTTCTGACAATAAAAACATGTGATATTTTTACTATTTTGTTCCATTCATATAAAATTTTAAGAAATTATTTATTTTTTTGTTTGCAATTCCTGATGTATTTTATTTTAATTCCTTTTTAGTCATTTCCATAAACATAAACGAAACATTTTTTCTATGGCTTCTTATAATTTTTTTACACAATTAAAATCAATAGTGAAACTCGAACAAAAATGACCACCACAAGATTACAAGGTCATGATACTTCAGAGTTTGCTAATATGGATGCTGAAGATTTGCTTATGCAACTTAATGAGAATGAAATTGATGAGCTGGCAAATGATGTAGATCCTGATGTAATTTGCTAATACCAATTAATATTTATTAATGAACCAAAATATACATATTGCTTAAAATGCTTATTATATTTGTTTAAATCCCTACTTATTTTTATATCTTTATTATTGGTAATAAGTTTTAAATTAACATAATTAATTTGGCAAGATATTATCTAGCAATGAAGGTGACATAAAAATTTATATGGGACTAAATTTTTTAAAGAAAATTTAATGTTTAAAATAGTCATGGGTCAATATGATCTATTTTTTACAATATTTCAATGGGGGCAAGAGCCCAACTTCCCCAATGAAGTCAAAACCATATGTATTGCTTTAAAATTCTGATCCATTTATCACCCATTCTTTTATATTTTATGTATCTATAATACTAAATTATATCATTGTAATTTATAAATATGAATAAAAGTTGAGAATTCATAATTTTTTTCTAACTGATGTAAAATTAGGACCAGCCTTATTATAAGAACATGTCTTTAATTCTTAACATTACTCTTGATATTTATATCAGGCCTATTTACAAAATTTAACTAAAACTTGATTTTTTTTTATCCCTGACTAATACATAATTTATGCATTGAAATGTTGATATATTAATGGCACCTCACAGGGGCATCACTTGAACTTTTTATTTAAGGAAACACTAGGACTGTATATTTATTTTAAAAAAAATCCATCTTGTGATCACATTCTTTCTGATATCCTTTTCTCATATGCTAATACTAGGTTTATCATTTTTAAGGTGGTATATGCAATATGAATGAATTAAATGTTTAATATTTGTATTAGAGATTGGCAAAGCTTTGTACAAACTTGTCTGTGTAAATTCTTCTTATCAGTTTGTTCAACCCAGCCTCTGTATTTTATACAAGTTGATAGTTTAATAATGATTATTAAAGAAAAACAACCTAAATTAGCCTAAATATTAGCCTTATTAAATATTTTCGAAATTTCTATCCGATCTCTGAAAATATTTTACACAATTTGTCCAGCCTGGCCCAAAAATCTAGGGCTGGGCTGTTTCAACTTCTAATTTGTACTATAGAGTGCATTGCTTATTACTAAGCTGGCCCATGGGCTGGATATTATCTGAAAATTTTTTGGGCCAGGCCGGGAAAATTTTTTATGGGCTAGCAAAAAGTAGAGGTGCATGGCATGCTTAATAGAGAATAGAATAAAATTATTCTAAAACCTAATTTTGTTAAAATATATTTTATTATAATTGTATGATTAAATGACCTGTTACTATGATCATTCATTCATAAAAACTAGTGCTGTAAGGGTTAACCTCAACAAAGGAACTCGCGTCACTCAATACGTTGAGAAAAGGAACGCATTACTGTTACTCGTTACCTTGTAAAAAAGGAACATGTTAATTGCTATTCAATATTTTTTTAAATTTTTTATAGAGATAATAATAAAATTATATACAATAAGATAAGTACTTTTTTGTAATTATTTTTTTAAATTTATTTTTTACAATTGATTTTCAAAATTTTGATCAGTATAGAACGAGCAATGAATGCTCAAGATAGCCCTCACCATGCTAAACATGCGAAACTGGCGCTGAGCTGAGGGTGGGAGGGTTGTATTATATTTAAATGAATGAAAATTTTTATTTCGCCCATTTTTTAAAAATATATAAAGAGTGATTATTATTTTCAAAAAAACTTAATCACATCGTCTTGACAAGAAATTTCATTGATCTTTAAATTTTTTCTTGTCTTTGAATTCATATATTTAACTTAATTTATTTAGATTTGAGCTGGTGGGCATTTATGTTGAAATATTTGAATTAGGGCATTCCTTAATTTTCTTTATTTATGTATTAAATGTTTCATAAATTATTTTCATAATTATTTATAAAATAAATTTTAATATTTACTATAAATTCACCAATGACACATAATAATACCTAGACTGGCGATGCACTCATATGCATTCGAAAGCGTCGTTGAATGCAAATCAGCGGAACTCGCCATTTTGGTAACCCATATAGTAATTATTCTCATGTTAAAAATTACTATTAAATTGATAACTTGCTTCCTTATTATCTCGATGATCAGGCAATTCTTTAATAAAGTTCGCGACAGACATAGGAATAGATTGGTTACTCATTTAAAATTTTTAATATTGGTATGGGTAATCAAGCGTCCCCCAGCTGTTTTCATTGATCTACACTTAATGAATTCATCGTCAATCTAGGTCTAGGTATTATTATATATTGAAAATCACATATCTTGATTGATTCAATATTAATTAGAATAACAATCTTGATTCTTGACTATAAAATTCAACAGCAAAAAGGAATAATATAAAAATAGAATTTTGGTGGTTGTTCTGTATTAAAAATTCGACTTTAATTATTTATAAAATTTAAAAAAAAATATTTTTTTTAAAGATACAATTAAATAACGAATGGCGTTCCTTTTTCACAAAAAAAAGGTAACAAAGTTACTTTCACTGGCGTTACTTTACAGCATTAAACGATTTTTTTACTACTTTTGTGTTTATTGCTTTATACATCAAACTGTAATCTTCATCATTAATGGTTATTTTTCCATTATATATCTTCTTGATTTAAGAAAGCAACAGGGTCTGAAAATTTAGCCACTTGCAAATCTCAAATTTGTACATCTTAAAATTGCAACTTTTAAATGTAATTAGAAGGCTTTATAGCAATTTGCAAAATACAAACATTATTTTAAAAATAAAAAATAAACTACGACAGAATTTGTCTAGTTTGAGCATTATTATCTACCATGGATTTTGTCTTAGATCTAATTGGTGGATTGGTTTAAAAAAATTTGACTTAACCATGAACCAGTTACAAATGATCATATAGAGTGTCCCTAATAAAGATATAAAATACATATACATTCTAAAACCTCATTTTAATTATTAAAAATAGAATGCATTAAAATTTTGAATATATATCAATTACTTTAGCATTAAGACGCCTACTTCTTTTTTTTTTAATATATATGGAGAAAATGTAATATTAAAAAAAAATATTTAATGAAGAAATCAAATTAATACCTTATGTAGTACTATAAACTTGTTTTTGAATTTTAATATATTTAGAAATATTTTTATATATGAGTTCAAATGTTCTTTCGGCTACAAAATTTTTTATTTATTTCTTAAATTTTATTCAATAAAAAAATTACACAAAACTTTGCAAATCCATAATTTAGCATTAAAATTGGAAAGCTACTGGGAAAAATAGGTCAAAATATCAAAAAAAAATTTTTTTAGTAACCCATTTAAAAATCATGGGTTATTTTTTTACGTTCAGTGTATGACTCAAGGTTTAAGTAAAATATTCATAAAATTTATAATAATTATTTTTCATAGTTTTATTCAGAATCTTGAACCAAATCCATAGTGCATATTTTGTGTGAATTCAAACTGAAACAAATTTTTTTTTTCGAATAATAAACTTGGTTTAGAATCATGAATCCTAGTGATTATTTTAAATAATTTGATTTGGTATAAAAAAAATTCCTTACAGCATCACATTCTTGCCTATATCTCCTGTGGTTTAATTGTTTAAAATTTGGTGGACATTCATGTTTATTTTCATTTTATCATCAATCAATCTCTAATTTTTGGGATGTGACACGCTCCCCTATTTTAACTCCATCATAATCTCTGTCCCGATTATTATCTAAATTCATGATGTATACTTTTATATCAGAGACTTGCAGGCCCGGCCATAAACCCGGCCCACGTTTAGGGCTGGGCCGGGTCGTATTTTAATTTTTTTTATTTAACTTTCAAAAAAATGTTTTAAAATTTTGTTAAAATAATAATTTAAGCTCATTTTTTCTTAAAAGTAAATAAACTGGACTCTTGGGTCAACAATAATATCGGCAAAAATGGTTAATTTTTTTTTTCAAAATCTAATACACTTGACAGGATCCCATGTTACCGCCTTCGGATAGGTGCCGAACTCTCACCAAGAAAAGCCCGACCGGGCCACTCAATCGCAGAAATTTGCTCAAATATCTCGAACGTCAAAGTATAACCGAGGACGATTGGGACGAACCCGTTCCTTTCAGCAAAGAAGTTAGAGGTTTTACTACGTAGTATTTTATAGATTACGGTCCATACAAAATATTAAAGTTTTCTAAAACGTAGTTAAGAATTATATACAGTAAAATTTGGATATCATCGAGTAATTCAACGAAAATTTTGAATCAAATTTCTATTACCTGTGCCCCTTTGGTCACGCCGAAAAAGCCACCGTTTATTAAAATCACGACATCGCGTCGCCGATTTTCCTATCGGTGGTGCACGCCAAAAAGCCACCGTTTATTAAAATCACGACATCGCGTCGCCGATTTTCCTATCGGTAGTGCATGGCCGGCACAAATTTTTTTTAAATAATTTTCATATATTATGCATTTTTATTCTAATAATTGGTCAACATAACTATTGTAAATTTTTTTTTATGTCAATCAAGATTTTGATGAATTTTATTTTATAACTTCATAATTATTTTGACATCATTTTAGAATTCAGTCAAATAAAAAAAAACTAAAATTCCAAATGTTACCATATTTTTATGTATTTTTTAAATGGAAACCCAATGTTAGAAAGGATATTTGATTAGGATATGAACCTATACTTGGGTCATAATTTACATTAGTGATCTGCATCGGTTCTAATTTTTTAAGCCCTGCCCGAATTTATTTAAATATAGAAATTAATCTTTATAATTACTCAAAATAAAAGACATATTTTATATGTCGTTTAGTTTCAATAAATAAAATCAAATATTTTTATTTTACATAAAAAATTCAATATAAAATTGATAAATTTAGATATATTTAAAAAATTTCCAAGGTCCGACCCGGCCCGAATTTTTTTTTAAATATTAGGCCCGGCCCGAACACGATGGGCTGGGTACGGGCCGGGCCTAAGTTTGCAGATCTCTAGTTTACATAATATGATGGTATTAAATACCTTTTGTTGAATATCTTATCAAAAGTATTAAAGAAAATATTACTGCTTTAAGATATAAAACTGAAGAGATTGAATTTGAGTTCGAGGATGCCTAAGTACTTAAGATCTCTAACATCAGATATTCTAGATATTGATGGACTAATCTAAACCTAGTTACTCGTAATAAATTGGTTATTCCAATGATGAGCATATTTGAAGCAAATAAAAATTTAATTAATAACATTTTGAAAGGAATTGGGGAGCACTCAAACTATGAATCTGATTTGGTAGAAGAACGTTTGGCTTATCCTTCAAAATTTATAGAAACAGTTGAATTTCCATTTGTACAAAAGGTTTATTTAACTTGAATAAGTTGTATTCTTTTAAATAAATAGGTTTTCGTCGTGTAACATATTTGGTCTAGTATTTATTTTGTCCATTTTTTTTTCCTGATTCAGCTTCGGAATTTATTATAAAACATCATAAACATATGGAATATGATATTACGGAAGTAAATATAGCGATCAGGTGGAAATTTCAAATTATTTTACAAAATTAGCTACTAAACGTTCAACAAGTACAAATTATGATTCCACTTTAAGTGATTTAGAACAAAAATCTTCTCAGAAAACCCCATTCACAAGATATGAATGTCCTAAATTTCAAGTGAGAAAAGAAGATCAAACTTCCTTTCCATGCTAGCTATAAAATTCTTCGTGTTCCTGCAACACTTAGATTTTCTGTACCACTGGGTTGAGGTTGAATTCAAGTAGATCATCATTATGTTTCAGAAAATTTAAATAAAATTATTTTTATACATGACAAAATCGATTTTGAATTTAAAATGAATTTTTCTCTTCAATAAAAATCTGAAAATATACCGAGATAATCTGTAGTGTAGTGTATATTTTAATTTAATTTTTCTTAAAAAAAAAAATTTAATTGGCAATTTAAAAAAAAATATATTTTACTAAAAATTTATAACGGTGCGCCTATTTACGCCACTTACCGGCCACCGATTAGATTCTTGAAACTTGCCCCGTCCGCCACAGTTTTGTTGACGCACAAGTCTAACCATAATTAATATTAAGGTTGATAAATCGGGCAACTTTATAATTTGGGCAAAGTGCCCAACATGGAGGTTTGACTATATTTTAAAAAAATAGTTCCTAGACGTCGGCGTGAGCCGGATCGTCTCAGGGTTTTTTTGTAATTATCTTTTCCCTAATGAAGGAAAACGACATAAATTTTCCTAAATTCTTAGGTATAAAAAATACTTTTTTTTAAAACTTTGACTCAGCCCTGTAAAAATATTTGCCAAGAAACTATTTTACCTCGTCACTGCGCAGTACCAAATATCGCTATTTATTTAGCGATCACATTTTTTTATGTTTCAAATATTATAGCACAAATAATTTTTTAGACATTAAAATAGGTCAATTTTAAAAATATTGGCCGATAAATAATATCCTGCTTACTATTAATCTAAGCATTTTGATTTTTGACTTTAAATTAAGACATATTTAGTTTTTTTTGTATCTCAAAATTATATGCAATTTCAATTATACTAAGGAAAAATTTGGCATCCCAAAGAGAGGCATCCCAGGGATGAATACAGAATCTCCATTGACCTGCCAGATGAGTATGAGCACGCACTTGAAGATGCTTCTGAGGCCGATCTCGTGGACATTGCAGGTAATTTTCTTTCTTTCTTTTTTTTCTTTCTCTCCTAATATAACAGATGTATTAAATAGAATTGCTAGGGAGGACTTTTAAATTTTCAACTTATGTGCCCAATAACAAAAGGAAGCAGAAGTGAGAAATAAGAGTAGGAAATGGAGATTATCGAATTATAAATGAAGTTTGTAAAAAATATGATGTCAATCTATATAATTTCAAAGACAGATTAGGGCTAATTAAATACCCTTTTTTTTTATAAATCGAAACTTGACTTTTTTATATATCTTAAAACATTATTAATTATAAAGGCAATTTTTTTCTAATTTTTATCGTACATGTTTAAAAGATACATAAAATAAGAATTTAGTCATATTTTTACTTCTAGAATTTAGCTAATAGTCTAGGATTTCTAAAAACTCAAAAATTTATATATACACACATACAATACAGGCATACTCGAACTTCACAGCTTAGTTAACCAGACCCAATACAACAATTCCTTAAAATCTTTATCGACAGAAAAGGGGGGTTTTAAATGTAAATATCTCATTTGATTTTGTAATATATATAATATTTTATTTTCAGTCACTCTAAATTAGGGCTACACTGATCCACAATTTTTTTTTCCACTAATCCGGTCTTTTTGCCGATATTTATTTCAAATAAACCAATACCGATTTAGGACTACACTGGACCACAATTTTTTTTTTCCCCCAATCCAATCCGATATTTAATTCAAGCACACTATCAATATTTACATTGATTTTTTTTGTCCTTGTTGTATATAGTATAAGATAATGAAATTTTTAAAAAAGCGGAATAATAAGAATATTCAACCACTGCATTTACATTTGGCGCCAATTTGCGGTGAAGTATACATTCCCGCTAATTTTATGCCCCACTTTGATTTTACTTTGATCATTTTACGGCCCGATCTAAAATTTATATTGTCCCGTGCAAGATAGCTATTTGCTAACTATGAATGTAAGGTAACCATGAGTCCCAAGTCATCTTTAATGAAAACCATTTTTTCTATTATCATCTGCTTAAATATAAAATTTAATTTAAAAAAAAAGAGTTTACATGTTGGAAAGTTTGAATTTTGTTTGTCCAACTTTGAATGTCCATAACTTTAGACCCTAGTGATTGAATTAAATGGAATATGAGGAAGACATTGAGATAATTTATTCCCCTCTCAATCTATAAAATTTTATTGAATTATTCTTAGAACAAAAAGGGTAGTATCAGTTTAATTGGAACACAGCGTACATATTCATATCATATTAAATTTTCTGTATAACAAACTGTATCTTTTATTTGAATTGAAAAGTAAAAACAAATTAAATATCAATTAATAAAATAATATAAATGAAATATAAAATTAATTTTAATTTTGGATATTCTTATAAAGAAGAGCCTCTAGTTTGTGTGATTATAAGTTTATCCTATGAGAGAGCGAGTCGATTTATAAAAATGGTTAACTCAATATTTTATCCAGAAAAATATTACGCAAGCCTGAAGATTTTGTTCATAGAAGGAACAAAGGTATAGACATATTTTATCGAAATCTCGAGGCTTAGGCAATATTTTTTTCTGGTTAAAATATTGAGTTAGAGCCGTTTAACAACACTACACCCCACCTACGCCTTAAAAAATTATATTTTTTTAAAAATAAATATTCATTTTATATCATTGATCTCTACATTTAAAAAAATAATAATATAGCAATCGCCAGAGGAGATAAATTACGAATTCTGGCGCCCGAACCGCCGAACATAACAAACCCCGAAGAATCTCTCGTTAAACTAAACCAAAACGACCCCGCACTAGACAAACTTAATCTTAACAATATTAGGGTTTATTAAACTTTTGAATAATAAATGATTTTTTTGCTAGCATTTTAGATATTTATTGCCCTGGAACTGTTAATCCCCCCAAATGAATGCTAAGAAATTTAAAATTGTTTGGTTGGACATTTCGAAAACACGGATCAGGGATCGATTTATGGGTAACTCATCGAACCCGACCCGGTGTATTTTCGGAGTGGGCGGGTTCAGACCCATGAAAGAAGATGGGTTCCTATTATGATTCGACTATCGAAATTTCTAGCTAAATAAAGTTAAAAATTTTTTTAACTCTAATCTGGGCCCAGTAATCATGGCATTATATTTTTAGAAAATAGTAATATATAGGTTCAGGTTCTAAGAAGGTTCTAGATTTTTTCGTGATTTATTTAAAAATGCTTAAGATAAATTTAGTCTTTTTTTTTAAATATTAAAATTTATTAATTATCTTAGATTAAAAATATACAATTTTGAGTATAAAATATTAATAAATTAACTGAAAAAAAGTAGCGCTTTACTTTAACAACACTGGAAAATAATAAATAATATTGTGTTAAATTTTTTTAATTTATTACATTATATTATAAAAAACATTGTTTTAAAAAAAAATAGGATATATCCCCATCCACATATTTAGGCATTTGTAGATCCCTCAAACGTAACACCAATATCGAAAGCTTGAGTTTGGTCAACACTCGTATGACCGATACCATAGCAAAAGTATATAAAAAATGTTTTTTTCTTATGTATAGGTTTATTGTATAATAAATAATGTAATAATTAGGAAATATGTAAATAACTTTATTAAATCATATATTTCATTTAATAAATCGACATAATAATATAATTTACTAATTTCACCCAGGATATTTGGATGATTTTAAAAAAAGTAAGATCCTTACACTTTTGACGCTTTACATTAATTTTTCTCATTAAATGGAATTGCTCTCTTTATTTTGACGTTAGAATAATGTGCCTCCACAAATAATTTTTTTTTACCGGAATAGAGGAGGGGGCGAGGGGGGGGGGGAGTAAAAATGATGTTATAGTTATAAATTTTAAGAAAATGTTACATATAGAAATAAATTATAACCATTTAGACATTTTATTTCTTACTTAAAAAGTATTAGGCTGTCGTCCTACCATTTGTTCTTAATTTTGAATAGAGCCATCCTATTAAAAAAAATACCTAAGAAACCATTTTTTTTAAAGATATAGATTTTGATGTGATACCTTAAGATGCGCTTAAAGATTTACTTATTCTTATTTTTTAAGTCTAATGTCATTCTATTCAGGACAACTATTTAGAATTCTAAAAAGAAAAACGAAGAGCTAATATGTATACTTAAAACAAAAACGCAAAGGTATTAGCCGATTCGATCAGAGAAAATGTAAGCCTTAGAAGCATAAACTTGGAGAGCAATGCTTTATCCCCAGATGCCGTTGTTTATTTGTTTGGTGCCGCTTGCGACAATCAGAACATACTCGAATTCAAGGCAGCAAATCAGGTAATATTTATATATGAACCTCTAAAATTTTTTATTCCCCCCCCCCCCCTTATATTTTCCTAGCAGATACTTTAAATGTATGCCATTTTTAAGTTACTGATTGACGCAATATTTCGAATTAACTTTTATTAGTTGACTAGTGCCCCTCTTAATGTATTTATTTTAAATGAACACTATTAGTGATGCAAAATCGCTCCATTTTAGCCTATTTTTAAAACCGGCAAACTCAATATTTTAGCCAGAATATTATTGCCTAAGCCTCGAAATTTCGCTAAGAGATGCCCAAACCTTTATGCCACCTATGGGCAAAATATTTAGGCCTACTTAACATTTTTCTGAATAAAATGCTGAGTTAGCCGTTTTTAAAAATCGGCTCAATTTGTCATAGCACAACAACACTATGACAAAAAAACGCTATACCTTCAATTATGATATTATTTTTTTTACCCCTATAAAGAGAAACACGTATTTGGGTAACAAAGCAGAAACGGAGATAGCTTCTCTCATGGCATATAATCATCACTTACTGAGGCTGGGTTTAACTTTCAATGTTCCCGATGCCAGAGTTAGGGTGGCGGTGTACCTTAAAAGGAATTTAGATGAACGTAATAAAAATAATAATATTATTGATGGTGACAGGCCATTTTTATTTCTATAAAATTTTAATGTAAATTGTTTATTCGGGAAACCAAAATGGCGTACTACCAGCTATTTGTATTGAACACACACATCTATATGAATGAATTGACAGTCTAATTATCATTATTATGTCATTGGTTTTTTAAAATGTTCCTAAATTTATAAATTGTCTTTGACAAAAATAATTTGTAGTACGCCTCAAACGACTTCACGATAGATAGAACCTTCTTTGAATCAAACGAAATTCGATTATAAACAACATCTTAATTACAAAAGACAAATGCCGCTCTAAAAAAAATTTGAACTAATTGAAAAATACCTGATTTTTTTTAAAATTATAAATATTATTTTTTTTATAATTGATAATATATTAATTTACTATAATTATAAAAGTGTAAATACAAAAATATTTTACCGACCGCTTTCGTCTTGAGCTTTTAGTTTTTCATATTTTTTAAATTCTACCAAAAAAAAAATCAAAATATATTTTTAATTTCAAAAAAATATTTTGTTTTTTAAAATGTTTTTTTTGTTTGTTTTTGGTTTAATTTTATTTGTAAATTTGTTACCGTGAATGTAAGCTTTAATTTAGCGAAAGGCGTGGTTGCTATATTATTTTCTTTTCATTTTATTTCTGGATACAAAATAACAACCTTTGAAAACATAAATGTTTTAAATAAAAGTTAAATTTCCCTGCTAATACAAAAAATTTTTTTTTTAAGTTTAAAATTTGTCATTCACAAATTTGTTTTAGGAATTTTGAGAGGAAAAAGAAATACCAAAGAATGATAAAAAAAATATTATTTAACGTTTTTTCTTCCATCTTTTTTATATATATAAAAAATTGAAATATTGCCATTCAATCATATTTTTATCCTATTTTTTAAATACAATTATAATTTATTAATATGTCCATGTATATTTAATTTATTTACATTATTATTTAATGTAATTTTATGTCGTTATCTTGATTCAATTTCGCTAAATTATTATTTTGATGGCTATAGACGAAACGGTTTATTCATACTTTTAAAATGTAAAACATATAGATATAAAATATTTAAAAAAAATTTTTTTTTATTGAAATTTATTTTAAATTCGTAGAACACTTAAATTTTAATTTGAGTATTTTTAAAAAAATAGCGAATATATAGTGAATTGTTCAGGGTCGAATCCAAGGTTTCTCGAACGATGGGTGGGGAATATCAATCGTTTTACCCCTATCTTCCCTTATGCTTAAAGAAATTTGGATAATTTATGTTAGGGCTGTGCCGATATTTAATATAGGATCGGTACCGATATTTAGCGTTTTCCTAAAATATCGGATAAGGCCGATGCGTGTAAAAACCCGATCCGATATTTTTACTAAAAATGCAATTCTTAAATCTTTTGAGTAATGAAACTTTGAATTATTATTACATCATATTTATAATTTTTTTAATAAAATTTTTTTTTTAAATATTTAAAAAAGATAATAAATTCCCCGAGTTTCAGTGAGTATTTTAATAATTTTCTAAATATATTTTTTTTAAACAATGCAAATGTTATTTATTTTTTTAAATAGATTTTAAAAGTTTTTTTTATAAAAATAGAAAGAAACACCCAAAGGTTTATTTATTTTTAATTTTTTAAAAAAATAATTAAACACCAATTTTATTATTTATACATTAAATAAAAGAATTATTTTAAATATGGTTTTTGAATTATGGAAATATTTTAAAAAAGACGAAGATAATTTTGCAAAATGAGTTATCTTGCAGAGTTCTAATTTCACAGGGAGGAATACTGAAAATTATTTTAAATAATCTAATATATTATAATTTTATATATTAAATATTACAATTTTATAATTAATACCAAAATAAAATGGATATATTATATTTATTTTATCTAATATAATATAATTTTTTTAAAATTATTGTTGAAATAAATTATATTCTTTTGCATAAAAATTATTGATTTTTTAATTACATTTGGTTTAAAGAGGGGTGGTGAAAAATCAATATAAATATCGGATCGGTTTTGAACCAATATCGGATCAGATCGGTGAAAAATATGTGGATTGGCACAGCCCTAATTTATGCAAGACATGGTAAACATTTCGGAGATTTTTTTGGCCTTATTTTGGAGAGATTATTTTAAAATAAGCTTTATAAATAAATTGGCCAAGTAAATTCAATATTTGAATCCGCTCATAATGGGTTGATTATTTGTTGATCATTACTAGTAGTGGTAATCATCTAAAAATTTAATATTAAATATAATTTATTATATCGTCATCATTCATTCCATAAAATAAAATTTGTCTAGTTTAATTTTTGTAATGAAATGAACTCGAACATAATATTTTATGGATTGAATTCAAATATTATGTTTTTAATATTATAAAACGTAAAATAAAATTTTAATGTATTTAAAAATCTCTAAAAATATATCTAGAAACAAAATGTTTTTATAAAAGTGTATCTAGATGCAGGTAGGGGAGACTGGGGTTAGGTAAACTCCGGGGCTTTTAAAATTAAATACACCAGAAGGTTAAAATTTTATCCTAATATAGTTTTTATTAGTTTACATCTATAGACAAAAAATATTTTGAAATTATTAAAATTTTATTTAAGAAATAAAATTTTGTTGAAATCTTCAAAAGATTTTTACATGACAGAATTTTTATCAAAATATATAATAATTTATATGTAAATTAAATTTTATAGCAAAGTTTAAACACTCTTCAGAAAGTTTTATGATTATTTATTATATCCAGATTTTATTTCAATCATAATTTGTCAATTTAGAGCTAGTGGGGTTTGCTGAACCATGCACGTCAAATGGCAGTTAATAAAGAAAAAAAATTCAAAATCTTGAAAAGGCAATTTCTTGGCTGTTTTACGAGTAGTATTTACGATTTATGCTAAAAAATCATAATCTAACCATAAGATCTTTATTTTTTTATGTCCAAAATGTTTATTAAATTAACAAAAATTATTTCATTTTTTATATATAATTAGCTTCAATTTATAAGTATTATGATATTTTGAACAATAAAACAAAATTATTCAATACGAATCATTATTAATAAATAAAAATGCATTTCAATTTATAATTACCTAAAAAACCCAATGGTTTAGGAACCCCCATTAATGTGGTTTGCCTCACCCCGCTATTGGGGCTTGTTGGACAAAATTTTTACTTTTACAAAAAATAAAATTTAAAAAAAATTAATTATATCCTTAAATTTTTTTATAAGGCCCCTTTATAAAGTATTGTTTTCGGTATCTAATCATATTTTATTTTTTATATTATGTAAAAAAAACCAGAAACTATAGCCAATTTTTTAAAAATAGGTTCGATTACCCCCAGTCACCCCTACAAATAATTTCGAATATTTAAGAATAATGTCAAAGATATAAGATAAAATTTGAATAATATGAAGAAAAAAAAATCAAATTTATCATAATAAATCGATCGAATACGGAATACCAAATTATCCTAAAAATAATTTATTTTCCTTATTCGTATTTGATTCGAATTTTTGAATCATAGTTTTGTTATTTGTAAATACGAATCGAATAACGAACAATTCGTCTTAAATATATGCATAATTCAATTTATATTCTTATTTCTTATGTCAACAACAAAGGGTATTACAAGATACTCCTATTATTTCTTGAAATAAAATTGCAATTTTTGCTACTGAATTCTCTCATTCACTAAACGCGATTAAGTAAACATTTTTTTCACCATGCATAATTCTTATTTAAAAGATTGGATGGTACTTATCTCTTGTTATATTACACATTACTATTTCTCCAGTTATAACTCACGTAGGATTTAGGATGAAAGTAATTTATTTCTCTGACAGATATTTATGCCTGATTCGATTCACGTCTATCAATCGAATAAGAATAAAGCTTTGCTATAAATTGTATTCTCATCTAGTTCACATGTATGCTGTTGTTATATAATAAACATACATATAAATTACATCAAATACATTATTCATACCCAAATTCGTCGTTACCCCTCATTCGCAGTTAGCACTAATTTGCGGCAAACAATACAATAATCCAGTCTATTTAGTATATTTCGCCACGAATTCGCGCTAATTGTGAATGGTATGACAAATTAAGTCCCAAGTGCCGAATTGTTACGATAAAAATGGATGGGGGAAAATTTTAGATTATCTTTGATTAAATTTAGAGTTTGCCCTATTTTTTTTAAATAATGTCTGGCTGAGGCGACCGGAATGAACAATAAATGAGCTGCCATGGACGTTTTTGCTCTAGAGGTCTAAGGCTGCCTTATGAGATGGATAAATTGTATTAACAAGAGTTTCCCACATTGGCACTAAGGATATGAAAGCAGAAGTAGAGTGATATGAGGAAGTGAATTCCTAGACTAGCGAGAATAGAGGTTGCTTGCATCCAAGAGAGGTATGAGAATTTGATATTCGAAATTGAGAGAGTATTTTATTATTGCACTTTATCCCCCTAATAGGTAGACATAGATGTACAAGTCTCGTTTTGTAAACTATTGGGCGTGTCTGATTCTGCAATAGAATTAATTCATTATAATAAAATCATGTAAAAAAAATTTAAAGGTAGCTTGAAAGAATTATTTACTTTTGTTCTTACATTCAAAAAATATAATACCTTTAGTTATAGTTAATATTTTGGCAAAAATAAAAAGTTACAAGCCATATAAAAATTATGATATCACGCTTTAAGCGCGTGGTCAGCCAAATGCATTAACTCTAAAAATTTTGTCAATAATTAGTGCGTATTTAATACATTTTACCATTTCAACCCGTTTGGTAGATTATTAGAAGAGATCGCAATATTGGCAAAATAAATTACCAATATTGGCATCATGCTAGAAGGAAAATTATAGAAGAACGAGTATCTGGATGAGCAAATATGTAAAGCCTGATTAGTAGGTAGTAATTTATCAAGCAGTTTTTCTAGTCATAAAAAACCAGTTGTAAACGAAAGAAAAATGGCTCAGTCTTTAGTGTCGAATTTTTAATTGCATTTCAAAATTGAGTCTAAATACATTTAGGTTTCTTTTCCTCTGTTTCAAAATTTTTTTGTTATGATTTTATGATCATGATAGTGTTAAAAAGACCGATTTTGGTAGAAATTTACAAATGGGCCGAGTCTGAATATTTGGCTCATAAATGGCAGAAAGGTTTAGACCTTTATTTGCCAAACCTCGAGGCTTGCATAGTATTAATTTTGGTTAGAAATCTTCATAGACCCATTTTTAAAAAACGACCCATATGGGGCATTTCAACAGTCTTAATTATAAATATTACTTGTTCTTTTCGTTTAATTTATTAATATAATATAAAAAAGTAAGTTATAATATAAAGTTCAAACAGGTTATCAAGGTCTTTTTAAAGTTTAGTTCCAGGTCCTGGATTCAGTAAATTATATCGATTTATATTCGGTTTGTACCCCTGATTTAAATTTATTACTTTTCTAAAGTTAAATATTGTCATTTTTTTAAAAAAAATTGTTACAAACGCGAATGGTGGGTAATTTAATCGAACATTAACATTAAGAAGATACAATTTATTTCCATTTTTTTTTCTGAATAATATTACATTATAAAATTATTTTGACAGGTTTATTGGTTAACAAAATAAACATTCCCATTTTTAACAATAACTAAATATTTAATAAAAATTAAGTTGCAGTTATTATAATAGGATTCTGAATTTTGATGTTCTCGATTATTATTGCTTTGGCCATTATACCATTATTCAATTATTGTCAGCTTCTTTTATTCGGGGGGGTCCGTTGCTAGATAATACGAGAAAAATTATACATTTATCTTTGTCTAAACTCTAAAATTATATTATATATATTTTTTCATAATTAAACCAGGTATTTTTCAATATACGGTAAATCAAAAA